GATTTTGTTTAATTAGAAGCATTTTTTTGGTAGTTTTGAGAGTGGAATTAGAGATAACCAAGAAAAATGGAGAGGAGCACTCCAGTGAGGAAACCACACACTTCCACCGCAGATCTGCTCACTTGGTCCGAGACTCCTCACTCCGATTCCCCCACCTCCGCCACTCGCTCCACCCGCCCGCACCAGGTAGTACTTTTTGTAAAACAAAACAAAAAACCTTTTTGCTGGGGAGTTAGTGTTTTTGATTGATATATTTTTTTATTAATGGTAGCCGTCGGATGGGATCAGAAAAGTGGTGTTTGGAGGTCAAGTCACGGATGAAGAATTTGAAAGCTTAAACAAACGGTGAGATCTGCTTCCGCCTTCTCCCTCTCCAAAAAAGGAAAAAAATAACCTTCATTTTTTTTTTTAAAACTATATGAAATCTTTTAAGCTCTACCCCCTTTTTTTTTTGTTTTTTGCGCCAAATAAATGCACTCTGAAAAAGTTGGAGCTATTACTAGAATTTCGCTCTATTGTCTTTTTATTTTTTTTATTTATTGTTTCTGCCATTTTCTCTCTCTTTATTATCTAAAATATTTTTTTTTGAAAAATTTGACTTCAAATCTGCACTTAATTCAAATTCCTCAACTTTGATCTGTTCAATTATTCGTGGTTAGTTTCCTTAATAGCTGTAATTTATCAACTGTTTATTGGTGATCCGTCGGATCTCCGTTCTGATCTAACTGTATCAACGGTTGAAGGAGATCTAACTGTACCGACTGTAACCATTTCTAACGTACCGAATCAATCATGTCTTTTGAATTGGATAAAAGTTCTTACTGCTTGGAATTAGTAGTTTTTATGCTTCGCAAGGTTGGATAATTCAATGTACATCTGCAAATCAGTTAAAACATTGCTTTTTTGTTAACAATGAAATGTCTGAAAATTATCTTATTTTACATTCTCCGAACTCAAAAGTAAAAGTGGGGAAGGCTGTTTGATCCATTCCATCTCTGTCATTCAGGGGATTTGTTAGGATAAGTCGATTAAGGCTTGAAGAAGGATGAGAGGGGTTTTTCACTTTAAGCTGTAATAGAATGAGAAAATGAATATGTGCCTTGATCAATTTTGCATCGTCTACACATTTGGTTTATGCTGTTTATCTAAGTGCCTCTGGAACTGTCATCTGTTGCAATTCCCAGGAAACCTTGTTCTGGATATAAAATGAAGGAGATGACTGGTAGTGGCATTTTTGCAGCCAACGGAGAAAATGATGAGTCAGAACCAGGCAGTGCCAATACCACACCAAACAACAAAACAGGACTACGAATGTACCAGGTATGCTTTCATCTCTTTCATATTCCAATTTTGTTATGAGGATATAGATATCTATAGTTAATAGCTGTGTTTTTAGAACAAATTATATTAGTATCAAGTAATGTTTCATAACATATTTTCATGTTCGGCACTGTTAGCAAGCACTTGCTGGGATCAGTCACATCTCGTTTGCTGAGGAAGAGAGTGTTTCCCCCAAAAAGCCAACAACTCTTCCTGAGGTGGCGAAGCAGCGTGAGCTAAGTGGAACACTAGAAAGTGAGGCAGATGCAAAGTTGAAGAAGCAGCTCTCTGATGCTAAGTGCAAGGAGCTTAGTGGACATGACATCTTTGCACCCCCGCCAGAAATTTTGCCAAGGCCAACAACTGTACGTGCATTGGCATTGAAGGACAATTTTGATATGGGAGAACCTGATACACGTAATGTAAGTGCATATTAAAACTTGTAACTTTCTGAATTTTGTCGCTGCATGAACAAATTGTGTTGTTGGGACTATGGTATACATTTTCTTTTGAGATTTTCTACAAAGGCTTGTAATTGTGGGCAGAACAGCAAATATATACATAAAATTGTTTTAAAAGTGGAAAGAAAGGGAAATAGCTTGTAAAACAAGAACTGTGTCATATAGAGTTTAGGTTTAGATCACTTTTGCAACTTGTTGCACATAAGATAGTTAGAAATCATATGATCATGCTTTGCGAAAAAGGTTTATAGATATGATAATTACAATTCTGTGCTTTAATTTCACTTATATGGAGGCTTACCTTTTACAATTGTTATGTACTCAAGTTTGCCATTTAGTGCTATATGCATCATTAATTAAATTTGAATATCCAACTGGTTGTTGAACTTGGATGTTGTTTTGTAGCCTGCTGAAGGTAGCATGTCAAGTGAGGAAGCTGCGCTTAAGACAGCAAAGAAAATTTATAACCAGAAATTTGCTGAGCTTTCAGGAAATGACATATTTAAGGGTGATGTTCCTCCAAATTCTGCTGAGAAACCACTCAGCGTGGCAAAACTGCGGGAGATGAGTGGCAGCAACATCTTTGCTGATGGGAAGGTAGAGGCACGAGACTACCTTGGTGGTGTACGCAAACCCCCCGGTGGAGAAAGCAGCATTGCTTTGGTTTAACTTCTTAGTTCTAACTCTGTCATTTTGGTCGGCTGTGTCTGGTGTTTTCTGTTATCTTTAGCGGGGGTGTGGTTATATTATTTGACCTTTTCATTGTGGGTTTTGGGAATTATGTTTTAGGTTTAACATGTCAACTTGAGCTATGGGCCTATGCTAATTGCTTTGTTTGTCCATAATCTTGTGTTTCTCTGTCCTGTCTTAGTGAAGGTCTTGGGCTGTTCAGGTTTAATTTTATTTTTTAGTGCTACATTGATTATCATTATATCGTTTGTGTGAGTTCTTAATTGACCTGCATACTTGGACGTATTTTGGTATGCTCTTGATTGAACTTCCGTTTCAATGAATTGACCAACAAAACATCTCAGGTTCAAATCTGAGGGTCAGTTTTTTTCTGGGGACGGTGTCTCGCAAGAGCTATGGACTTATAATGGCATCTTACGTTTGTCCCAATTCCTGGCCGAAATTGGCATAGCTGTTCGGTATTCTAATTTGGCTATGGCTATATATATATATATATATATATATGTGTGTGTATATACATGTTTCTGGAATAGAAAATGTTATGATCACTAACAGTCATTTTATGTCTACCCATTAACCGAGATAGAAAATATGGGGGTTAGTAGGTGGCTTGGTGAGAGTGGTGGCTGGACCTGAGTGCCCAAATCGTTGTCTGACAATCAGCCGTTGGTTTTGGCAAATGTAATTTGTCATTCAACGAGTGCATGAGGATGGATTTTCTGTTCCTTTATCCTTTTGGCCAGGCATTAGCATGACGAGGGCCGCGTTTTTTGTCAATATTTTCTTCTTGGTCACTGCCACCCTGTTGACGTGCTTTTGGGCAAATGCATGGTACAAGCCAGTGGCAGATAGGCGAACAATTTTTCAGTAACAGACTGCAAGTCTTTAATTTGGTTAATGCTCTTTTGCCTTTTCATTTTTCTTTTTTATAATGAAGTTATAAAGTAACAAGTTAAACTATAGGCTATTAAAACCGGTCCGAAGTGGCAGTTGAACCGGTGATCCGGCCACAGGATTGGTGCGGCCTTTATGTTTGATCGTGTAAGTGTTAGCAAATGACCTGATCAAATTCGGTTAAATTTGCGGGGTTTTTTTCTTTTCATTAATTTGCTATGGATCCAAACGTTTAAATCGACTCATATTCATCATATTAAACTAAAATTACTTAAATGCCATTAATAGATTTGACGTAATCTCATATTAAAGAATTATATTAAATTAAAGTCACTTAAATAGTATTAATAAGATTTAAGCCTTGATCTCCTAAAAAACAAAATTTTTTAACCATTAAGTCAAATATTACATTTTTAAGCTTTTTATTATTTACATGCATAAGTAAATATGATATATAAAAATATATCTAAACAAAAAATTAAATATGCGATTCAACTATTAAAATAATAAAACGGTCCTATTTAGTGATCCGATACTCTCTTTGGATTACTTGCTAATCCGGTTTTGATAAATATAAACTAATTGATTAAAAAAATAAACAAATGATTAAAATATAATATCAATTATTTGTTTAAAATACAATAAATTTTATTTGTTTTCTGTATTGTTTTTATTTTTCTATTTTGAAAGCAAAAGAGCAATAACAAAAACACTAATGACACGGAGCTAAACGATTTTGCTGCGACTTAACATTTCAATCCAATGCCTGGTTTTGCGTTTGTATCTGTGGCTTTTTGCTTCTGACTCGATAGCTTTTGCTCCTCAATTTTCCATAATGAAAGAAAATCCAAAAGATTGATTTGGTTTTTGACGAGATCGTCGTGGCCTAGTATCCTCATTTGCTTAAGAGATAAACCCACTGCCTTAGTGTTTTCGAGAAACAAAGCATATGTTTCCCCATTTCGTGAAAAAAGGTGCAGTAGCTGAATCAATGAATGTTGTTGGCATCCGGCCTTTTAGCAGTCCGGGTATTGCTGTGCCTAAACAGCAACATTGGAAACTTGGACGTAGCTCTCAACCGTGACATGGACTGTTTGTATTTTCTTGTGCAACAAGAGATATGCCCTCTGTTTTTGGCTCATTCATCAACATAACATACTACACTATTTTACTCTCTTTTATCCTTTCTCTTAATTAGAATCGTTCTGGGTTGTTAGTTATTTGGTGGGATTAGCTTCACCGTAGATATCCAAGGTGTAACCTTGATGATCGAAACATCTCTATTCCTTAGCCATGGGATTTTGCAACAGCAGAGAATGTCGTAAAATTTCATCAGATCCAATGGCCGCAAAATTGTTTATTCCTTGCTTTCACCAATGGAAGAAAACACTTACTACTTTTATTATAAAAATTTAGGTCAAGTAAGCAACTACTGAGAGAGAAAAACAAGCAGCCTTTATTGCTAAAGAGGTTAGCATTCTGTTTTGGCTATCTAGATAATTATAACTACAAAAAATTAAAAAAAAAAAAGAAAGAAAGCAAAAGCAACTTATTTTTTGTACCAACTAACATCATCTCAACAAAAGAATAAAGAAAAATAAAAAAGCTCTAGTTTAACGTTTCCAAGTAAGATATTCTCTCTCTCTCTCTCTCTTCTCTCTCTCTTTCTGTGCTTTTTTGTTTTCACTCTGTGTAGTGCCGGCTCGCTTCACTGCAATGGCGTGAAATTAAACCATTGCCTGTCCGTACACCATCCTTTTTGTAACCGTCAAGATACAGAAAATCCCATCGTTTTTTTTTTCTTCTTTTTCTCTTTAAAGAAAAACCCCAAAACCAATATCGCCAAAGAGCAATCTTCAACTGAAAAGGAAACGTTTTTAAATTTCCATTGTGAGCTTTCTGTATTCTTTCTCTTTATCGACTTTGTTTTGGGTTTTGGGTTTTAACATTGGTTTTGTGTTTTCTTATAAAAATATTCTCTTTGTATCTATAAAGCTTTGGTTTTTTTTTTTGTTAGTTTTTCGTGAAGATGTTTAAACTGGGTGAGAAGAAGGAGAAGATGATGATGGTAAGGGACATGAAGAGAAATAGTGAGCTTGAAACTTTATTGAATGAGATCCCTCAAGCTCCTGCGTTTCTCAATCTTCAACACCATTCACAAATGAGTGGAGTTTCTCCTTCTCCTTCAAGCTCTTTCTCTAATGGGTTTTCTTCTCCTGAAGAAAGTTCACCGTTTGAAGAACAACAGCGCCAACAACAACACAAGTTTCATCTTAATGGACTCTGGTTGGATTCTAAATCATTACCTGATTCTCATTATAGAAATAAGAATGTCTATGAAAAAACGTTGGTCGATGATGGTTTTGGTTTGTGTGAGAATCTATACCAAATGCATATTAGAGATGAAGAAAGAGATAGAGATATTTCTGGTCGAATGAGGAGATTTGAGAGGGACCCAGACGATTTTGGCTTTAGTTTTGGTGATGTTTCTTCTTATAATGTGGAAAAATATGGTTCATATGAAGGTTTTAACAAAGAGTTTCAATCTTCTCCACAACAGGTTTCTTTGTATTTTGATGGTGATGACCTCAGGTCCACCTTGCTTGGCTTGCCGGCTGGATATGAAAAGGGTGATTCATTGGGGTCTTACACTAGCAGTTACAATCAGTCGAATGGTTTGTCTTCAAAATCTAGTTGGCAAAATAACCCAAGAAACTATCTTTTGGAGCAGAGGGTCGAACAGGCTAGGAGTATGGATAATAGGGGAATTCTATTACAGAATGCTTTTAGTACTAGGCCCTGCCTTGATAATCCTTTTGTTGGCTTACAGCAATGTGGAATGGATGGTAATGTAGGTAGAGCCGTCATTGATTCTTTGACTTCTCCCAGGTTCTTGCACAGTAAGATTCCTCTTGAAGAGAAAGTAGAGGATAGTGTCATCATTCAAGGAAAGGATTTGAAGTATGGTATTACGAACAAGGTACATGATTCATTTAAGTGTCATAAGAAAAAGTCTCTCAAAGAGATTGCAATGCAAAACCTCCAAGAGAAAAGCTCTAAGCTTGATAAAATTCATGGAGAAAATGTGACACTGATGCCAACTCCGTATTCCTTGGCTGAGTTTCAAGGTTGTATATTTTACATGGCTAAGGACCAAAATGGTTGTCGGTTCTTACAAAGGATATTTGATGAAGGAAGCTGCTTAGATGTGCAAATAATATTCAATGAGATTATTGATAACATTGTTGAACTTATGATGGATCCCTTTGGAAACTACCTTGTGCAAAAGATGCTTGATGTATGTACTGAAGAACAAAGACTGCAGATTGTGCTCACGGTGACCAAAGAAGCAGGGCAGCTTGTGAGGATTTCCTTAAACACATATGGGTAATTGCTTCATTTTTCATTTAATTCTTCTTTCTCATTTACTTTAGTGACATTCTTTGTGTTTTGTTACTCTTCCTATATTTGTTGCTAAGTGAATTTAATTCTATATTACAGTACACGTGTGGTACAGAAGCTGATTGAGACTCTCAAATCCAGACAACAGATTGCTCTTGTTAAATCTGCTCTAAAACCTGGAATTCTTGATCTTATCAAAGATCTCAATGGGAATCATGTGCTGCAGCGCTGCTTGCAATGCCTTGACAATGAAGACAATAAGGTATAACGATGAGCGTGAATTAACTTCTGAGCTCTATACTTGTTCCCACAAATAGGCCTAATCATGCACATTCTATGCTTTTTAATTATATTGGGCTACTTAGTATCATAGTTTTCTCTAACATGAAGCATTTTTGTGTGTGATTTACCAATATCTGTTAACTGAGTTGTGAAACTCATTTTATAATATCATCATTGGTTAGTTTTTGTTGATAACTCAATTTTCAACTCTCAAAAATGCATATTTTGCATTCTATAATTTACATCTATCGCAACATATATGTAATGCATTGCATTTCATGCTGTTTACTTGTCCCTTTTTTTTTTTTTTGAGTAGTATGTTGTAGATCAATAAATCAAACAGGATCTGGTTTAAAAAATTTTGGCCGGCAACTGCAGTCTCATTTCATCATGTCAACCTACTACAGGGGACGTCTCTAGTTTATTTTTTTTTTTGAAAGATGGTTTTTATTATCTCTAGTTTATTATATGGACAGATTTCATTTCTGTTTTATATACCAAGTTTGTAATTTCATTTCCAACTGCAGTTTTTAGGAATCAAACTTAATGCCTTATGGAGTGATAATGCATTTTCATTGGTTTGATTGTGCTTGAATGTGTCAGTTGTGTGTTGTCTCTTGAACTTCATATGTCTTGTTTCCATCAGATTTCATCTTGACAATGGTTACTCAAGTCTTCTAAAGAAAATAAGATAGTTATCTTCTAGGTCTTTATCCTATGGCCTGTGCACTCCATTTGTCTCTGGTTGGTACCAATTGAGGGCATACATTGGTTTGATGCAACACATGATCTGAAGATTAGAGGTCACAACAATTTTTCTCATTTGTTTGAACGTATTTCTTCTCTTGGTCAGTGCAGGGTAGCTTTTGTGTGTGTTTGTTTCAAGATATTGTAGTTAAATTTATCTCATTGTTTGGCAGGTGTGCCTTGTAAACAGGTAGAAACTTTTCTGATAGATAGATGCTTAATTACACGGTATTAGCATATTGCCTGGTGCATCACAAGCAACTGGCACAAATTCAAGAAGTCAGTTTGAAGGAATCCATTCCAATTTTCTGGATATTTATTGATAGGAACATTGTTTCTATGGGATGAACCAACCTATAACAGGCAGTAGTAGGATGTAAGATTCAGTATAATTAAACCAAGAAGTAATTTTGAAGATCGCTTAGTCAGTTGGGAGAACCTCTATTAGCTAGCAATTTTGCATAATTGCTCAGGCGCTCTTATGTTAAGTCATGAACTCAGATTAGAATTCTGAACCAGTTTTCTCAGTACCAGTCATAATTGTCTCATAATCTATCCAATATTTACTTCGTCTTCCCCTTTTATTTTCTATGATGTTGATCTCAATCTAGTATGTAGCTTTGATTTACCTCAATAATAAGGATTAATTAAAATGGCTTGCAGTTACCTGATTTCTTGTGAGGTCTCTGATAGTTTTATCCTTGTCCTCTCATGTGCCATTCCTATGTAGAATTCTGCCAGAAGTATGCTTCTTATTCAAGCTGTAGCTTGCAGGCTTTGGTGCATTTCCTGTGTTAAGAAATTCTGTCTCTACTTTGGTGCTATGCATTTTCATATGACCTAATATATACATTTTTAGTCAAGTTTGATTCTTAAACTTTTCCGGTCCTCTGTTTTTGTTAATTACCAATGCAGATTATTTTTGATGCTGCTGCAAAATTTTGCGTAGATATTGCTACTCATCGTCATGGATGCTGTGTGTTGCAACGCTGCATTGCTCATTCCAATGGGCAACATCGAGATAAGCTAATTACCCAAATTTCCAGAAATGGGCTTCTTCTGGCTCAAGATCCTTTTGGGTAATAAGCTATCATTGTTTGTTTGTTTTTTTCTTAGTTTGCTGACAAATAAGATTCCTATTGCTGGTTCTGGTGACTAATTTAGCTTATAAATTTACTTCAATCAAGCTCAATGAGTAAACTTGGGTCAAGCTTAATGAAAAATCAGTCTACTTAGGTTTATATGATTGTCATGCTAATGAATTTTATCATCATAAAAAAACCAGTTGCTTTACTATGTCATTATATAATGTTTTATCATAATGAATTTATCATCAAAAGCTAGTAGTCGAATCTCATGTCAAATTATTGTATGCAAAATTGTTGGCTTTTTATTGCAGTCAATAATCTCTCTAAATTTCTACTCCTAGATAGAATAACAATCTTTCCTCATAGAACGGGGAGATGATTCACATCTTTCCTTAGAGTGATGGGTACATCCTTTGGGCTCGGATGGTCTATTCAGATCAGGTTTCTGAGAGTCATAGATCCATTTAGTAAACATAATCCTTCAGCCATTTCTGTTCTTTCTTCATCATGTCAGATAAGCATGGTATATATGTACTCACTTTGTATTGAGGATACATATGACAAGCTAACCTCTTGAATTCAAAGTGATGCCTGACATGCTTTCATGTTTCAAAAACTTATTGGTAATTACATGATATTTACATCAGATTTATCTAATATTGATGAATATGTTACGCCTGGAATTTTAGCATGCTTATAAGTAGTTAGCTATGAATAAAAATGCAGTCTGCGCTTTATGGTTCAGATTTTGTGTCATATCTGAGCATGTTATTTCATGATACGAGGCAGATTTTGCATTATCTACGATTAGGTATTCCTTCATGTCATTGTTTGTCTTGTTTTCTGTAACATTCATATCAAGTACCTAAGAGACAAAGTCCCTTCAATAAGAACTCTGCTACATGAGAAAGAGACACTGTGAAACATATATGATTGCTTATCTCTAGTAAAATTAATTTAGCTGAAAACATGAATGATTAAGGAGGATACTAGTTCTTTGCCTTCATTTTCTCAGAAGTCTTTCCCATTTTGTTGTTTCATATCATTCCCCTCCAACCCAAAACTGCTTTTTGATCATGGATTTATACTGTAATTCGTTTTGCTCTCTGGTTTGTAATCTTCTTTTTGCTTGTGAAACAGAAATTATGTTGTTCAATACATTATAGAGTTAAAGGTTCCCTCTGCCATTGGGAACTTGCTTTCTCAGTTCAAAGGGCACTATGTTCACCTCTCAATGCAGAAATTTAGCAGTCATGTTGTTGAAAAATGCCTCAAGCATTTTTCAGAAAGTCGGTCACAAATCATCCGTGAGTTAATATCTGTTGGCCACTTTGAACACTTATTGCAAGATCCATTTGCCAACTATGTCATTCAATCTGCTTTAGCAGTAACCAAGGTATGGGAACTTGTCATTTCTTCTTTGCTTTGATAGTATTTGTTCAAATGTAAATGAAATCTCTCATAGTATTCCCTTTAGTCTCTTGTCTAAGTATGTAGCTCTGTGTGACGATGTGTGATTCTCATCATGTAAAACATTGTCTCAAGCAGGGTCCTCTTCATGCTTCTCTAGTTGAAGCTGTCAGACCCCACACGATCTTGCGAACCAGCCCATATTGCAAGAGAATTTTCTCACGGAACCTTCTTAAAAAATGATGGAGTCAATTTGCCAGTGTTGTTGTGCTTCCAAAGTTGCTAGCTGTTCATTACAAATAAGCAATCATGTCCTTGGATTACTAGATATAGAATGTACATGGAATTCTGATGCTGCTGTCCTGACGGAAGGCTTAGAGCTTCAGATGAGTGGATGACCTTCGTGACTCTCAAGGACGTAGAAGAAAATTTTGCTTCTAGTTGTTAATTATGTAGTAGCAACTTGTATTATTCTGTTGTCTTGTTGTTGTCTTGCCGATCCAAACTTTGGATGTATGATATTTTATCACGTTTAAGATTGTGAATTTCTGCACAAATCTGATGCCTGAATTTCCTTTCAGGTTGCATTTTTACTTCATTTTTGAAAATAGAGATACTTAAATAGCTTCTTTGTGGGAGCTTGATTGCATATAGATGTCAAAGTATATTGAACAAAACTTCTTTTGAGAAAACAGATATGCGGATGAAAGATAAAATTTCTCTAGCACAGAATATTTCATAAGCCTTTTGAGGCTTCACTAGGGGGCAGAGACATGTTTGCGAAGGTTAAACTCTGATCGATCATCACTAATTCATATCAGCTAGCATCAGATTTGTTGACTGAAGACACCGTATAATACCCATCAAGAGTTGACCTGATATATTTAATCAAATTAGTAGGATCAAACTTTCATTTGCTAAAACTGTCATTTCTAGCTTCTACTACAAAAAGCTTTAAAGTTTCAATTGATAAAAAAAAGCTAGAAACATCAGCTACTGTATTTATGTGAAGCTTCAACGCCATGGTGATGATCTCAAGCATCTAAATCACCAGCATTATTGCATGATGTAGGAATAAGAATAACTAATGCTGAACATTACCTGCTTCTGATTGATATATGACAGGATCAACAACCATACATAAAATTCTTTAAGCTTAAACATATGCCTGCATATAGTTTTAGGTTCACATAGATAAAATGCTCAAATACCATAAGACAGACAGTACCACATAGAAAAACAGGATAACATCATACCAGACAAGACCACAAAAGTTCAGTCCTAGGTATAATACACAACAGAAAATAGCTCTCATGATAACAGCTCAAGCCTCCACATGTCCTGCGAGTGCCAGAAGCATTTTTTCATAGTCTCCATGAGTGTCCTTGGCAATAGCACGATCCAGTGGGACACTGTTCCTTCGCTGGTACTCATCTGCTATGATCTTTAGATCAACCTCAGCTCTAGTGGTAACAACCCTTGTAAGAGCTCCTTCATCTGTTCCTCTTCTGTTAATCGCCAGACGAAGAACCTTCTCAAAATACCTCTCAGGGCGGACCAAGCACTTCACTGTGGCCCTGAGTAGTGCAAGGAACTCATCCTTAGGGTCAGCCTTCAAGTCCTGCAATAGGAGAGTCAAGCCCAAAGAAACTCTATCAGAGGACAGGGTATCACAAGCATACGAAAGAGCCAATTCTGGAGGCCATAACTAGCCTAAAGCCAAAAGCATTGAAAAACCATATGGAAAAGATGACAAAGTCCTCAGCAGAGGCAGAAGGGGCTGGGGGCACAGGAAGCACAATCTCAGTCAAACTTTGTATACCTTGTTTATATCATTTCCATATTCATTCTTGTAGTGATTCAGAGTTGCATTGATCTGTGCCTTGCTTCTTGTAGCCAAAACCCTGATGAGATCGTCATCATTGTAAGCTTTGTTTGAAATTTTCTCATGGAGTAACTTGGCCTCTGATTTTGCCAGTGTCATGTTCACCTCGTCTCCCTCATATCGGTATGAGCAGACAAGAGGTAGGAGAAGCTGGCAGGAATAAATACACATAAATAAGCAGTTATTCACAACAGAAAACAAACAAAAGGCTTCATTGACCCACCGATATAGTAATAAACAAGGAGACAGTACAAATCTCCGATGAGTGTTTTTATAAATAACCTAAGCATTCCTCTAACCAATCCATAGTTGGGTTATGTATTATTTTCCCATTAAAGCCGCTTCTGCTTGGTCGTGACATACCATTGACTGGTTGCCTGTTCTGACCCATTTAGGTAAGGGTCAAACAATGAACAACACATTCTTGTTGACAAACTTATTTTCCCTCAATGTTGTAAAGCAGGCAGTAACAATTTACCAGTGCATATATGCCAGCTCTCATTTTAAAAGTTTCCCCAGAGCCTTCTTCAGGTAAAAGGAAGAAACTGAAATTTTTATAGGCATAAGTGATGTTTGGTGAATGGAACAAAAAAAGTGTGATAACAATCTGTTGTACTTAAGCTAAAAGTTTTCCTGAAGAGACTATATTTCAAAGTACGGATGTTTTATCACAATGCTAATAGTCTAACAGATGTACCTTTCGGAAGTCACCAGTTGTGTGATGAGCAACATCCTCTTCAAGTGATTTCTTATAACGAGTATGATAAGCCTGCCTTGCATGAAGTAGTTGGTTAGCAGACCTTGTGCAGGCTATTTCCATAAGGACCTGATTGCTTGAAGTCCATCTTTTGGTTGCTTCATTAGCCAAAAATGCATCACGTTCAGCAGGATCAAGAGTCCAAACCAGTACCACCCTCTGACAGATAAGAATTTGGAAAGCAGACACATTATTCATCATTCCAGTCCAGGCAATAAAATAAGTATGTACAGTATTCTCTAACAGTGAATAAAGTAAGTGCTTTCACAAACCGACCTCAAAGTCATTTGAGAGTTCCTTGTCCAGTGCCCTGAGGAGATCTTCTCCATATGTTTCAGCATAAGTTTCTCTAATCAACTTCCTTTGCTCAGCATTTCTGTGACCCAATATAGCTATGATTAAGCCCTCATTAGTTCCCCATCCTGCAGTAAACATCAATCAAAATAGCTTTAAATCAAGATATGGAGAAACTGATGCATGGAAAGACATCTAAATATTTATGACCAAAATAAAATGTGACAATCAAAACTATGCTCCATTACTTTTGTTCGTAGCTATTGTACAATGCGGTAGCTTTTTATTAAAAATCTACTTAGAGGCTCCAGGCAAAAATCCAAATTTTCAATGTTGTAGCTTCATAACAAAAGAGCTTACTAATAAAGAACTCCAAAAACCTATTTTTCACAGAAAAAAATCCATGTTGACACCTAGATTACAAAATCAATATGAATATAATCCTGATCCAGTTTTTAGCTCTTTTTCTGTTTGATCTTTGAAAGTCCAAGTGAACATTATCCATTAACAATGGCACGTATTTGTCTATTTTGTACATCAAAGGTTAAGACCGGGTCCCATATACCAGAACAACTTCGTGGCGTACCATCAGATCATCAAGCTGATCTTAAAGTCAGGGAAAACAGAATTTTGAAGATCAACTAATAAGCCTCAACATAAACAAAAACAGATCAGCAGGCTTCAAAGATCAAGCAACTAGTTTCATCAATATCAAGCCATCGTTTTTAGCACAATCTTCACAGATCTTGGCATATCATCCCGAATCAACCTCCCCCACCTCGCCCCCGCCCCCCAAAAAAAAAAAAAAACCAAAAATACAAAAGAGTTTTTCGTGTAACAATGATAACCATCTTCACTTTCAAAATCAACCCAGGAAAAGGTTGATCGTTTTTTTTTTCTTTTGTAAAGATCAAAGTCATTCTGTAGAGTTTGATCCGATATTGTATCGAGAAAGATCAAAGTCAATAGAGTTAGATCAATGTCAGAAAACAATGAGTACGTAGGAGATAAAAAACCAAACGAAATGAATTGATAGAGGAGAGACCTGAAAAGGCTTTTCTTAGTTGTTCACAATCTTCAGTTACAGATGGAACCGTTGCGGGCACTGTAAGAGTCGCCATTGTTTTTTTCCCTTTCTTTCTCTGTTTCCTGTCTCTGTTCAGAATCGAAAACGAGAAGCTGGTAGTAGTGTGCTAAAGACAATGTACGTAGCTGTCGATATATGCCGTGTCTATGCCACGTGAATAATCTCGACGAATGCAGAAGGCCACGTCGCTACCTGCTAGTGAACGTCTTCGTCGGTTCGGGAAAGTAAAACCTGACCAATAATTTAGACCCACGTGTATCGCAATAAGATTGCTGAAAAGACATTTGCGGTTAATATGATGTGGTTGCTGCTTCTGCTTTCTCCATAAAGAATGATTATAATTGATAAAGGATGATGATAATGTAGATTAAACATATAAATTTATGTTGTAAAATTTGTACTGTTTAGATTAATCACTTCCTAAACAAAGTATTATACGTACTGTTCATATACTCACATTTTAGTGTTCTCAAAACAGTATCCTTTTTCTTTTCTTCTAGATAGTTGCATATTACAATGTCACATTCTGTCTGTTTCTCTTCCTTATTTGCCTTTCAATGTATCAAAATACCCATCAAGTTTTTTTATTAGTATATGTTATTTAATTTAATTTATATATTTAAAATCAAAGTAATTTAATTTTTTACTTTTAAAAATGACTTTAATTTAGTTTATTCCTTAATGATATCTAATTTTATAGTTTGATGTAATATTTCTTGATTATGTAGTATCTATATAATGTGGCATGTCACATAACACTAATATGATGATGTAGTAATTTTAAAATGGCACTGACATGTTGCCATGTCAATGCCACGAGATAAATAAAAAAATTTCAAAAAAATTTGTGTCAAGTCATAAAAATGAAATTAAACAAAAATATATAATATATGGATTAAATTAAATAAAATTGAGATGTTGAGGAATTATATTGAAAATATTTAAAAAATATAAAAATTTAAATAGATAATAGATATATTTATTAATAAGTTAAATATTTAAATATAAAAGATTTATGGTATTAAAAATATATATTTTTTCTTACTTAATTATTTGATTTTATAATATGTATATTAATTTATCTTTTTTACAAAAATTAAGTTTGACTTATCATTTCATAAAAAAATTTTGAAATTAATTTCATACCTAAGGTCAAATTGTATTATGTTGGAATAAAATAAGATAAAAAGACTAAATAATTTTTTTTCTTCTATTTATAATACTACAAAAATTTGAAATTTATTTCACCTAATTTTTAACTTGAATTGAATTCAAATTAACAAAATAAGTTGATTTAGTTACAATTTTCACAATTTACAAATATCTATTTTTTTTAGAATTATTCAATCTTTACCTAATTTACTTTTTATTCAAAGTTTTTTATAAAATGATTTTATTTAAATTTAAATACCACAATCAAATTCTCTAAATTTAAGTTTAAATTATTAATTTGGATCTATAAAAAATTTAAAAATACCAAATAAAATAGTATAAATATTTACAATTATATTTAACTTTATCAACCATAAATGCAATCTTTAATTCAGGAAATTTCAACCTAAAAAATATAATATGAAATATTAAACAAAATAAAAGAATAAAAAATTAAATGGGTTGAGTAGCTCAGATTTTATGACTATAATAAAAAGTTTGTCATATCCAAATTAAGCAAGTTAGAACGAAAAATTATTTTTATAATCATCGTTAACTTCATATCTCACTTCTTCATTCTTTTAAAAGAAAAACTAAATCAATTTATTTTGATAATTTGAATTCAACTTAAGTTAAAAACTAAGTCAAATAAATTTCAAATTTTTGTATTACTATAAATAAAAGAAAAAAATTATTTAGTATTTTTATGTTATTTTATTTCAACATAATGCAAGTTATTCATCTAAATTTGACTTTAGGTATGAAATTTTTTTTGAACTTTTTTATAGGAGAATGCAAACTTAATTTTTACAAAGAAGATAAATTAATTTACATATTTTATAATCAAATAATGAAGAAAGAAAATATATATATTTTAACATCATAAATATTTTATACTGAAATATTCGACTTATTAATAAGTATATTTATCATCTACTTAAAGATTTATATTTTTCAAATATTTTTTTTAATTTAGTACTCGTATTATATATTTTTGCTCAATTTCGTCTTTATGACGTGGTTTTTTTTTTAAATTTTTTGATTTATCATATGATATTGACATGTCAATATGTCAGTGCCATATCATAATATTAGTCTCATGTGGCATTATCATGTCATTATGTCGATACTACATCATCAAAATGTGCTATGTAGTGTCAAAGTTGATATTATCTTTTTTAATGGTAAAATTAGATATCATTAAAGAAATAAATAAATTAAAGTCATTTTTAAAATTAAAAAAATTAAATTATTTTGATTTTGAATATAAAGATAAAAAAAATAAAATGAATAAATACATAAAATTAGTGAATATTTTTACCTTTTTCAATGACTTTGTGTAACAAACCAAACCCATTACATTAGGTTGAACATATGTGGCATTTGGTACTTTACAATACAATATGATTGTAGGTAATGTGATTGCAGAGAAAATAATATTACAGTGTTTGGTATATAAACAAAATAATGATTAAAATGCAAGTAAGATAATATTGCAGTGTTTGGTTTATAAGTACTTTGTTGAGAATATAATGTTAATTTTCAAAATTATCTCTATTTATTAGAATATAAATTTAATATACTTATATTTTTTATTGTTAATTTTTATATAATATCATTTATTAAATATATTTTTAATGTCATATATTTTATTTTATTTTTATTATAATTTTATATATTTTATTTTTATTTTTTAATATAATTTTTAATATTATATATTTTATTTTAATTTCTTATATTTTATTTTATTTTTTGATTTTTATATTATATATTTTATTTAAATATATTTTATTTTAATTATAACATTACAAAATATTTTTAATAAGGTAATAAAGTTTAAAGGTAAATATGTCTTTAAAAATATTATAGAGTGCAGTGTAATGTGATTGCATTGATTTTAAATTGCAGTCACATTATATCCTATGATTGTAATGTAATTATATTGTAATCTTATATTATAATAATTTATTATAAAATAAATATTATAATATAATTTAATTAATTATATTACAAAAAATATACTTTTATTTTTCTCGTTCCAAACACTGTCATAGTGTTACAATGAACGAATCAGGCGCCGAATAGACTCCTTCGGTTTGGATGTTCTTTGGGCCCATGACTAATTCTGTTTTCTTTGGGCCCATGACTAATTCTGTTGTAGGTCTTTACCCAAAATTCAAAACTTGTCTCACGTCCTATTTGCGTCATCCAACCATATGTACAAAGCTCTCATTGCTTATAAATTCAAAAACTAATTCATTTTAAATTGACGTGACTTCACTTAATTGTGTAACTTTTTGTTGTGCTGAAACCTTCTATATGAATTGATGAAAAGAGTTAGGAGAAGAAGAAACAATTCACTTGCTTCAAGTCTATTTTAATTTTAATATTACTTATAGCGAAAAACACATTTTTAACCCAACAACACATTTATTAAATTAGGTATCTTTATTTATAAACTTAAAGTTTTATCTATCTCGAGGTCTCTTATAGTTTTTGAAATTTTAATATTGTATTAACAGAAAAATGAAGCTTAATTTTTTATGGATGACGATGAAGCTTGGGTCATGTAAAGACTAATTCCGCCGTGACTGTCGGCGGTTTTGATTTGCACAATGTGCAATACTGTCATTTTAAAGGAAAAAAAATTACTTGGGGAGAAAGTCAGAATCCCATAGGATTAGAACAATCTGGAATCAATGGGTCGAGTGGTCCGAGAAGCAGCGCCTTGATAAAGTCGATTAACGCTGGTATATTAGAAAAGAGAAGCAGCAGGAAAGAAAAACAAGAGAAAAAACTGAGAGAGGTTGGAGAGGAGAGATGGACATGAGAGGGGTCGAGTTTTTGCCAAAGGAGTACGGGTATGTGGTTCTTGTTCTTGTTCTTTATTGCTTTCTTAATTTCTGGATGGCTGGCCAAGTCGGGAATGCTCGCAAGAGGTACAAGGTTGCGTACCCAACCCTCTACGCCGTCGAATCTGAGAACAAAGATGCCAAGCTCTTCAACTGTGTTCAGGTTTGGATGAATTTTGCTTTGTTATAATAATAGTAATAGTAATTAGAATCGTTTGAAACAGAATCGTTAATTATTGCAGAGAGGGCACCAAAACTCGCTGGAGATGATGCCGATGTTTTTCTTATTGATGGTGTTGGGAGGGATGGGCCATCCTTGCGTGTGCTCGGCGCTTGGAGTTGTTTACATCGTTACCCGTTATTTCTACTTCACTGGCTACGCCACCGGAGATCCCGAGAACCGTCTCAGTATTGGGTTGGGTTTCTTTATCCCTTATTGTCATACTTGGATGATTGTTTTTCCACTGTTAATTGTTGCTAATAACTGCTAACTTCTATCTGCAGGAAATATGCGTTCTTGGCGTTGCTGGGGCTCGCGATTTGCACCATTTCATTTGGAGTAAATCTGCTTCGGCGATGATTTCTGACTTCAGACTACTGCAATCTACTTTGCCATCTTTCTCTGCTTTGGCCTTTTGCTTTTAGTGTACTTGACAAAGGCAATAAATTAGTATGGACTGATATTTGCTTAGTGTGATCAAGTTTATGTATTCAGACAGCCTTCTTATGTTCATGTCTTCATAATACATTTTCAACAGTTGCGTAAATTTCTAATAATTCACTGTTTAAATGTGCAAGCTGGGTGATGATATTAGAACTTCTTATATAGTTTAAAGCATAAAACGTTATAAAACTGGTCAACCTTTCGCCAGTTTCTAAACTTGTTTCCCCTGTTAGGAAGGCAAATTCAGATGCCTGGCGTTGCCTTGCTACATTGGATCAAACCAAGGTACAAAATACGATTGCAGAGCATGGCAATGGCACGTATATAGGTTGCTGGTGAAAACGCAGGGTAATGAATTAGTAAAATGAGAGCACAGAATGAAACCAGGTCACAAGATGTATCTAACGCAACCAGCAAATAGGAAGCCAAAGAGGTGAGTCAGGCTTCAGATTCACAAGCCCAGCTGTGCCAAACTCTTGAAACACCTCAATTTCAGCTTGGGTTTTTCACCGGAATTATTTTGGAGTCTGATTTTAGAATCTAAACATTGCACACTGGAAGTAATATCATTCCAGAAAAACACATAGATAAGTTTCTCACCGGACGATTCCTTATAATTATTGGCTAATTGTAGCCAACATTCAGGGAGTTGCGGCTTCAGCTTCAAGACCAAGCACCTCCCCTAATGTCAACATATGGAATTGCTCCAGGAAATCTGGTCGCGGAATTGATAGATATTGAGAAACTTGTTGCATGGTTGGCCGGGATTCTGGATTGCTATGCAAGCATAAGAAAACTGCCTTGATGAGGAAGACAATATTTGCCACCATTTGATTTGCTGGAGGTGAGATTCGCTGGTCCAGGAGATCCTTTAATAGCAAATGATGGTAAGTTGAGGATGATAGAGATGAAATTAGATCACCTGGATGTCTCCCCATTATTATTTCTAGTGCCACCACTCCGAAGCTATAAACATCACATTTTTCATTCACTGCCATTGTATATGCAAGCTCTGCAAAGAAAGAGATGATCATTGATTGCTGGTGTCATGTATATTTTCTGAGAATAGGCAATACTAATTTTTAAACTCATAGTTGTAATAACATTCTTGTTGATAAATTTAAGTTTATTCCAAATCAAGTTGAAAGAATACAGCCTAAGGTCCCAAACTCAACTACCTCAACTGGGCACCAAGAATAACTATATACTGCTCCTGTTCAGAAGAATATGCTAATCTTCATTTTCATCTTCAACTATGGAATAGGGTACTGAAAATAGCTGAGAAAATTTGGAAATTCCAAGGGCTCTGGAGACCGGCAGTTGTAAATTCCAGAGCCCCAGCAATCCCTAGTTTTCCTGTTAAAAAACAGTATCCAGGGAACTCGAACGCTCAAATTATGTCATTTTTATCAACACAAATTACTAACTTATTGTATCAGCTTCAGTTATGTGCCTCTAGATTGTAAAGCTGAGAAATCTACAAGAAAAAACAAGATGATAATGGAATGTTAAGCTGATAGCAACATTCCATAACACAGTCTAAAACTAATGTTATCTGTCAACAGAAACCAGAACATAGTCAGCCATGCGTCTTAGCATTACAATTTGCAACTTAAATGATGATAGGGAAAGCCACCAACACCACCCTTGTAGGGAGAAAAACGAAACAGGAAAAGGAAGCGAAAAGTGAGAACTGACCTGGGGCTGAGTATCCAAAGGTGCCAGCAAAAGAAGTCCAGTTGGATGAGTCAGGTTTTAGAAGCCTGGCAGTGCCAAAGTCAGAGATGTGAGCCTCGTATTCCATGTCCAGTAGAACATTTTTGCTTGATATGTCCCGGTGGACAATCGGAGCGGAGCAATCGTGATGCATATAGGATAAGGCATATGACACACCTTTTATAACATTTATCCTTTTGATCCAATCGAACTTCATTGCTTTTTCCTCACTGCTTAGCAACATTGCCAAGCTCCCACCTTCAAAGAACTCATAAGCCAAAAAACAGTATTGTGGATGCCAACAAAAACCATAAAGCTTCGCAATGTTGCGATGCCGTATATTAGCTAGCACATGAACCTCACTTGTAAAAGCTTTTAGAATGGTCATCCCAGCTTCTAGTGGTGTGTGGAGTTTCTTAATGGCAAGGACTTGACCTGTTGGCAGCTCAGCTTTGTATACACTTCCAAATCCTCCTACTCCAATACAATGTTTTGAGTCAAATCCTTCGGTTGCTTTAGAGATGTCGGAATGCTCCAGTTTTCGATCATAGCACCATATTGTGATCTGCTCTTCTCTTGATTCATTTTCTTTGTCCCTAAGTCTTTTCCAAAGAAATAACGATATTACAACTATGATAAATAAAAGAGCTAGACTGCCGAAGAGGAGAACTAAGATCAATAGGACTCTGTTCCCCTTTCTTCCTCGAGGATTTTGGCTTGTCGATGGGCAAGGGTTCAAACCAGGGGAATCTCCACACAAGTCCTTGTTATTTCTCAATGATTCAAATGGAGCCTCGCTAAAGGCTTTAGAATTTGGAAGACGACCTTCAAACTGATTATAGGATATATCAACAGATGTCAAACTCAACATGTTGTCAAAAGTAGATGGAATAGAACCAAAAATTCTGTTGTGGGAAAGATCTAATGTTTCCAATCGTTGCAGTTGTGAAAGCTGAGACGGTAGCTTTCCTGCCAAAATGTTATGACTAAGATCTACAATTTGCAGGAATTGCAATTTGCCAATCTCAGAGGGGATATCTTCATTAAATTTGTTCCTACTTAAATTCAAGTAAATTAGATTCGAGCATTGTCCTAGTTGACTGGGAATTGAAGCACTCATACCGTTTGCTGCGAGGCTAAGGCTTCGCAAATCAGATAGCATCTGAATTTCCGGGGGAATTCTACCTGATAACTGGTTATAATCAAGCAAAAGGATGGTCAATGATGTCAACCTTCCAAGTTCCTTTGGAATCTCCCCTGTTAGATGATTGAAGGAGAGGTCAAGTATTTGTAGCTGACGTGCTTCCCCAAGGTTAGGTGATATTTGACCAGAGATGTTATTATTGGAAGATTTCAAGCTTGTCAAATTGTGGCATTGTCCCCAGTTGTCAGATAGCTCTCCAAACAATTGGTTATAACTTAAATCAATGTAATTCAAGTTTGGATGCATGCCAAAACCTTCAGCTATGTTTCCACTGAGTTGATTTCGTTCAAGCTTAACTCTTATTAAGCTGGTGCAATTTTTCAATGTCTTTGGTATGGGGCCCGAAAAATGGTTGTTTTCTACAGTGAGTATCTCAAGCAATCCACCAAGGCATATGTTTTCCGGTAAATTTCCAGTCAATTCATTCTCAGCTAATTGAAAACTTTTGAAATGGGTAATGTTGTTTATTCCTGAAGGAATCGGACCAGAAAGCTCGTTCATAAAAAGGTGAAGTCGGTCCATGTTGCTTAAGTTTCCTATGGAATCAGGAATTTTACCAGTGAGACTATTATTCCACAGTTGAAGCTGATGGAGAGATCTAAGCATTCCTAACTCTGCAGGAATGGGACCAGAGAGTTCGTTGCTAAAGAGGTAAAGAAATGATAACTTGGTCATGTTACCTATGGAAGAAGGGATGGTACCAGTAAGATGGTTCCTTGCTAAATCAAACAAGTCAAGAGCTCTTAGCATCCCTAATTCTTCAGGTATGGAGCCAGAGAGTTCATTGTCACCGAGATAGAGATTAACCAAGTTGCTCAAATTCCCTATAGAAGAAGGGATATTACCTATAAGTTTGTTTTCATGCAAAATGAGTTGAGAAAGTGATCTCAACTTCCCTATTTCTTGGGGGATGGTGCTACTTATATTGTTATGATCCAAGGAAATATGGCCAAGACTTGACAAGAAGCTTAGTTCTGATGGAATACTGCCAGAAAGACCATTGTAAGCCAAATCAAGGAAGGAGAGTTTGGAAAGATTACCAATATATGAGGGAATGGTTCCAAAGAGTAAGTTTTCACGAAGCTCCAATCTAATTAAGTTGGGAAAAGACCAGAAGTTGAAAAAATGAAGTGTACCTTTTAAACTATAATTTCCCAGGCTTATGTTGGTGACGCTGCCATCATTGTTACAAGCAATTCCAACCCAATTGCAAGGATTGCTTCCATTCCATGAAGACAGAATAGATTGGCTTTGGTTATAAAGACTACTTTTCCATTTTAGAAGAGCCTTTGCTTCTTTCGCTGCCTCTATTTCTTGATCTCCTGCTATAGTAGCAGCTAAGGAAGAAGTTGGGGAGAGAAGATAAATTGAGAGGAAGACAAAGAAATAGATTACAAGCAATAGTTTCTGAACAGAGGATGCCATCAGAAGGGATATGGAATCAAACGAATAAGAATACATAGCTGCATGGAGAGGTACTTATTGAAAGCTTGGGGTCAAAATACTCCCAAAAGTATTGTTGTGTTCTAGGCACTTAATAACGTTAATGGACTTCATATTTAGACGGCTGCGAGTAGCTTTCAGAGTTGACTAATTTCGAGAAGACAAGTCCATTGCCATTTGCAGATTTGCTAAAATCTGTTTAATTTAATTTAATATTCTTCTAACAGACACAATGCAAAATAAATTCATTCAAAAATTTTGATCATTAATATTCTGTATGTAAAGAATACATATTACAGTTAAAAATATATATTTTATATTTTTTAATGATTTATATTGTATAAGAAATAAAATTTAGAATAATTAAGGACTATAAATTCAGGAAAGAACGATTTAGAAGCCAACCTAGTCAAACAATCTTAATCAACAGCCACGAATTTAGAATTCCCTTTGTTGCTAAGGTGGCAAATATCTAATTTTGTGACTAGAAAACATGGTTCAAAACCTTAACACCATTTTATTCAGACAACTTTATTATATATATGATGCAAACACGAACATATCTAATACTAAATTAATTCATAAAAATATACCCTTCCATAAATTCTAAAATACATATTATTCAAAAGGGTTTTTTTTTTTGTCCACATCCTAGATATTTTATTAAACGTCATTTATGCGGGTAAGAAAAATTCTTGTGTGTGCAGCCAATGCCTCTGTTACTCAACCCTAATTAACCCATCTATAGCACCAGGGGAGATGAATCACCATTTATTTGTTATGTTATTATATCATCATCAAATTCCAAGTTCGAGACTTTCCATATAGTCTTATTTCCTATATCAGCATATCTAGTTTTCCTTGTCCACCATGTTTTGCAATCTTAAACTGACACGTAGTGAACCAGAACACAATTCACATTTGAATTGCTTTATCTGTAAAACCCTTGGGATTTGTCATGGAACCAAAACGTGTTGAAAAGGCAACTTAATCAAGGCCAAAAATTGTGCCAATCATTGAGCAACTTGTGCAAGCATATATAGTTTTCAGTTTACAAACAAGGAACAGGAAAGTAAAACCGACATTTGTACTGTGGATACACTCAGCGATTGAAAGTCAAAAGTCCTAATAAATACGTATTAATATCTGTATGGTTTGACATTTATTTCGCAAAGGAGACTGACTCACAGCTTTGCATAAAAAAGAAGCGTAATTAATTCAAAGTTTAATTATTTATGGAAATGCAGTCCGTTTAGTTGCATAATGCATATTGGATGGGGAGGTAAATAGCCATGCATGTATTGGAGAAGTATTCTATGTCTTTATTTGAACCTAAAAAAATAAAATATTGATTGCATCTAATTAAACTTAATTGTTCGTAGAAATATAAGTGAGTTACAATTTCTGATGTAGCATATGACATAGTATAATGACAGCTAAAATGAGATTAAAAGTTTTAAATGAAATATAGAAAATAAGTTCCATAATGAGGGCTATCCTATCCTCCATGGATAGGTAGCAATCTTTAAGTAAAAAAAAAAAGGGTTCCATAATGAGGGACTGTTTGCTTGGAAATTAAACTCCAAAGTTGATATGATCATTTCAAACATGGATATATGATCCATGGAAACCTAAACTGTTACATATCCTATTTCCTGTGCAAATTGTGTTTAATAATGGAGTCAATAAAGAATGACACGGCAACATATTTAAAGTAAATTATTGCTCTTAATTAAATTGTAATATATTTTGTATTTGCTTAATTTTTGTTTAAAAGAAAAAGAAACAAGGGGTTGTGTTCGACATTTTCAATCACCATATTCCGTTCTAATTGATGCGCTTGAATGTCAAATACTGGCATCAAGAATTTCAGACTCATCGATATAAACATCTGTTAAATTTCCCAAATATATTTTCACATGGCTTGGCTCTCTTTTGTGCTCATCTTTAGACAATTCAATAGCAAGGCTTTTAAAGGGTCCCATTTCTATTTTGGGGGAACGGATAAAGAAGTCCATTAATAGTATCTCCCATGGGCCTAAGGCTTCAACCAAGATATATCCATGCCCATCACGTGTGGGCCTTTGGGTTCATTCAGGGGCCTTACTTCGACAGCCTTTACTCTTTAGCTGGATTTCTTTGTTTCGAACCATACAACAGTCCATTCCTTGCATCCCGAATGCTCCAGATTAACAAGAGAAATACCACAAAAAATTATTGAATTTATGATGTAGAGATTGAATTTTTAACATTCAGACGGTATAGCGACAAATCTTCTGCAGTAATTATGGTATAGGGCTCAATACTGGTTCGGAAGTTCAGAATTGCATAGCGATGTTAGCCTCTTAAGAAAGTCACCTTTAAGTTTGTTCCCTCCAAAGCCTTGAAATGTTCAGCTTCACTTCCCTAGCTAAGTGTCTAATAGGGGGATATATATATATATATATATAT